GTCAGCAATGCAACATATGTTCCAATCCATGATGTTTTATGTCGCGAGTCGTAAATCCCTCTGACGGCTGTCGGATGTAAATGAGACCTCAGCATTTTTAAGATAGCCTTCAATGCTACACCCCAATGACCTGTCGGTGCCCCGCTCACTTTGGCGTGAACAAAAATAATGTCTGACGGACTGGCCCGTTTGCTAGCCTCGTCGACTTCTATTTTGCAGGGATGCTCTGCTTTTACGAATGTGAACTAGCGTCAGGAAGAAAGCGGACTGTCCTCCAGTAGCATTTTTGTTTCAAACAGTATATCTGGGGATTAAATGACCATTTCAACTGTTTTGCCCAAAAATACTGTAAAGATCAAACTGCTAATAAAACCTGTGCAGTCAACTTAAACATTAGGAGAAAAATAAGAGCCGTTCTTAATGTTTATGTGCGCCAACCGGCTGCATTGGAGTCAGCTTTCACCAGACTGCCAGACTCCAGTGACCAATAAAATTAACCTGCTCAACACCGTAAGTGTGCCATCTAGCGTCAAGTAGAGCCAGTAGGTGGTCAAGGTGCGTGCGCGACCTTCAAGTGCCAACGACTCCATAAAAACGTAGCACATAGCTGGCATGAAAATTCTCCGTTCTCGCTACTCCAGAGATGTCGCAGGCACGACGTTTCCAAGACGAATTGCCCCTGATTCACAACTGTCCTGCCTTTAATGAGCTACGCCTGGCTGAAGAACTCACAGATGTCATCATAGAGGTAAACTTTCCTGCTTGTACTGTTCTGAAAGCGACCCTGGGCATGGTAGGTTCAGGGAGGTGCTCAAATCCAAGCGCACAAACTCATTCTGGCAGCACGCCTTCCGGGTTTGCGAGCCTGCGACAATGGCCCTCTTAGGAAGGATACTACGGTCCTGCGGTGGCCGACGGTGCATTTAAGGTAAGCCTACCATTTGCTTATCTCTTATTCGAAATTCATACTTGTTAGCGCCAGGAAGGCACTACAGTATTTGCTTTATACCGTACAACATTCATAAATTTCTAAAATGTGACCAGTCTCGTATACCAGTGTGAAGGCATAAAGGAAAACTTAGAAATACTAATGAACAGAATTGGGCATAATTAAAACTTAAAGGATGTGTACGAAGTACGAATTGTTGGTTAAGATAAATAATAAAAAATTCTTGATAATCCCAAAGTCTGGAGACGTAAAAAGTAGCTTTAATATTGAACAATAAACTAAAATCTATACGTAGGTCGATAACGGATCGTAACCAATCTATTTATATAAAATTTCTTTGATCAACATATTTCATGAAATTACCATTAGTGGATAACTATAAAAGCCTTCATCATTTCATTCATTTTCAGTGTCTTCATTGCGCTTCTGTTTGAAGTTTACATAAAACCTTTAAAATAATATATATAAATATATGTATATGATGAAGTGGATCTGACAAACAAAGGGAGACCGGAATGACCATCTCTGGCTTATTAGCCATCCTCAGCCAGTTATTCCCAATCTCGAGGGTTGGCTACCCCGATAATTGAACCTGGGACCTTTAATCATTGAGTTCAATACCCTACCTCTGGTCCACTTAACGACCAAAGATCCCGGGTTCAAATCTCGGGGGTGCCAATCCTCGAGATTTGGTATGACTGGC